GCCAGGCTTTTCAAAATGCATTTGTAGCTCATTCCCAGCCTAAAATTGTCAGGGATCTGAGTCTGAGTGACCTAGGGTCCCTGAACAGTTGTGGACTTATTATATTATGTGTGTGTGTTCTTCCATGTTTGTGTATTGGCAAGTGTGTGTGTGTGTGTGGGTCGGTGTGTGTGTGTGGGTGCGGTCGTGACAGGCACCTTCAGGCCTGGTGGGTGTGGCCCTGCCAGCTGACCGGTCACACCCAAGGATCCTCACACACACCTGGCGCCGATCAAGCCTCGTCGGAGCAGCTGCAAAGCAGTGTGGCTGAGAGCTCCTCGACGCTGGATTGTTGAGTGACCCGTCAGTGTTCCCAGCAAAATTAGTGAGTGCGAGTCTGTCGCTTTGTAGTTGTGTGTTAACGGCTTCCTCTGTGGATTTTCCAGCAGGAGTGCAGGAACGGGAGAGCAGCGAGCACAACTTTCACGGGAGCGGAGACACGAGCACGGGCACGAGCACTGAGGAGGAGACACGAGTTGGAAACGCACGGGGATTTATTATTGTGTATTGTTTACTTCACTGTAAATAAACGCACTGCATTAATTGCACAGGGTTCCGCATTTTGAGTCCTCCTTCCCCACATACCCACGGTCTGCCACGCAGACCATGACAAAAAATAAAACTCAATCATACTGTCTCTGGCCATGGTGTATAGGTTTAGCCTACTCTTATGCTCATGTCTCTACGCAACTGTCCAGGAATTGTATCAATATGATGTGCGCACGTTATCTATTTCGTTGCCACAAATGCGTAATTCGTTGCCACGTTATACCCAATTCGTGCCCACAAATTAGCATTTCGTGCGCACGTTATACCTATTTCGTGCCCTCAAAATAGTATTTCATGGCCACAAATAAGTATTTCGAGGGCACGAAGTAGTATTTTGTGGCCACAATTTATTTATTTTTTGGACCATATGTCATCAGAGGGGCTCCATAGGATACAACTGAATGGGTTAATGAGATTATAACAAGGATCTTAAAAGGATGCTGGGTCACATTAGATATAGTTGTAAGAGGATTATATGTGTGCAGCACAATTTTATTATTGCTTAAGGGCAAGGTACCTAAATGCATACTTTTTTGTGAGTGTTGTGATTTTACCTTTTATTATAGACAGGATCTATTGCACTGACCCTCTGCTGCACTGACCTTTATTATTGTTTTACCATGTAAAGTTTGAATATGTCACATTCACTCCCATTTGTTTTGAGGGATTTTTTTAAGTGTTGTTAGATGCTAAAGAACAGAAGACTACAAGTTTGCTGTCTTTTGGGTATCTGTGGATATATCTGTATAATCCTGTGAACTACTGAAGCTGGAAAAACTTTTTTCAATAATATAAAACAATAAATAAATAATTTAAAAACTCAATATCTATAGTAAGCTTCAAGAGGTAATATACACCTGCCAGGCAGTTTTAGTTACAGCTTGCTAGTTTGGGGTTGGAGCCCTTTTGCTTTCAGCACCACCTTAGTCCTTAGATTTGATTAGATGCTGGATACATTTTGGTCTGTATTGACATGATATCATCACACAGGTGCTGCAGATGTGTTGGCTGCACATCCATGACGCAAATCATTTCAACATATCCTAAAGGTGTGCTGCTGGACTGAGATCTAGTGAATGTGGAGGCTGTTTGAGCACAATGAACTTATTGCTACGACTTCACTGAGATGTTGAAGAAACCAGTTTGACATGATTTGAGCTTTGTGACGTGGTGTGTGAGAAGATGGCTGGATGGACATGGTCAGCAACAATACCTGGGTTGTCTCTGGAGTTTAAACAATGTTCAAATGGTACTAAGAGGGCAAAAAGTGTGCCAAGATTGTATCCCCCACATCATGACATCACCCCCACCAGCCTGAACTGTCACTACAAGGTAGAATGGATTCATGCTTTCATGTTATCCATGCCAAATTCCAACCCTTCCATCTGAATGCCACACCAGAAATCGAGACTCTTGAGATCAGGTAATGTTTTTACAGTTGAACTGGAGCCTCACTTTCCTGTTCTGAGCTGGCAGGAGTGGCACCTGGCAAGATGTTCTGCTGCTGTAGCCCATCTGCTGCAAAGTTGTTACTCAGAATTGCTCTATATTAGTATATATATCAATATCTATATCAGCTTAAAAGAGAATATCTTAATGTTGTGTTATACTGCTCATCCTGTCCTTGTGTGCCTAAAACTTCCACAGAATTGTTTGTTTAACAAAAGGTTTCATCTCTCCAGCTGTTTTGAAGCTCTTTTACATATTATCTGCCTATAGAAATAGATATTGAATGCAAAAAGCCTGCACAACTGTTCTTTATGTCCCAGCGGAGTTTCTTATCGGATAATAAATCACTCTCATCATCAGGTGAGCTGCTGGTAATGACAGCGTGACCTCTGGTGAGCTTCTATATATAAATCTTTAGTAGGGGAACTTAGTGACGCATAGAGGACAAGAGACAATGTTCCCTCAGAGAGAGAGTCTGTCCTTTCTCTCCTCTTAAGAACATAAAGGCATGTGCGACCGCTCAGTTTCCTTTTGCTTAATGCTGTAAAACACCAATGAAAAGTAAATACACACACACACACACACACACACACGGAAGCATGCAGATAGACAGATAGATATATGTATGTGCATTTTGTATGTCACACAAATACATCTGCCTTTTTTCCCCACTTCTCATACTTCCTTGTTTAGACTGGCCTGTTTTGTATAGGACATTATGAATGTGTCCATCCTTATGAGGACAGGCTGTAAGTATAGGGTTGCATCTAAAGCATCACAGTAGGAAGGACGCATCTCACGGTGTCAGAAATAAAATAAAAAAAGCAAGCACACGCAGGACACTCATTGAAATGCATGCAGACACACACACACACACACACACACACACACACACACACACAGAGGTTGTACAGCATGACCTTGATGTTGTTCATCAGCTTTACAGGAAGGTTGAAACAAGACAATGTGAAGAGTGAAGAAGGTGACTTTGTGTTGGCAGGATCCCAGACTTGCTCTGTCTGCTGCTCTGTGATCTGTTACCTGCATTTGCAGGGTTCTGTGTACTGCAGACGTTTTGCTTATCTCGGCAAATAATTTTGACCTGGATTTTTTAAAGGTCTGCTGGGTAGAGCTGTCTCCTTTAACGCTGCCAAGTTATGGTCGAAATCTCATTTAAAAAAAATCCCTAAAACACACAGGAATGACTTGCCAGAACTTCGCATTTATTTTGAGGGTTCAGTAGGACTGTATAACAATTTCACACTATTAAGCATTAGTAGGGTTTGGAATTATTTATTTATATATCATTACTCCTCCTTTTTATGCCATTTATAAATGCAGATATGTTTATCCCACTGTTACTGTTACACATGTACAGCTATCACCCTGAGTCATGTAGAGTGACTCTCACAGACCCTCAGGTATCCTCGAAGAGTTAAAGAGTTGTGTGTTCGCTGGACAAAAACACATTGTTCCTCCTGAAACTGAGGTTTGACTCTCTTCTCCAGTACCTTAGCAATTCACAGAGCACAGCAGAAGCAGTTGTGTGAAGTCTTTCTAAATTACAGTTTTTTAACAGACGCTAGGGCACATTTCTCAATACTTAGGTCACTTTTGCAAAACTCTTCACACAATTCTCCTAACTGACCGTCAGCTTGGCAAAGCAGTTCATTTCACATTCAAAATGCACTACAACTACCAAAACACTTTATTCAGGTCTCAAATAACCTCATTCTTCCAGAACACTAGCAAAGGTTGACAGCCAACAAACACACTTTGTCACCCACAAAACAATGACCCAAAAAACACTAACAACATGTAGCATTACACAGTGTTTTCTTGTGTAAAACAAGGACACATCTCTGTTTATAATTTAAATATATGTTACTGGAATGAATCAGACATCATGCAGAATTCGTTAATATTTGTTTATGTACTTTTATTTTTTTGCACTAAGTAATCCCAAAATACAAGAATTTGTATACACACCATCCACTGATACTCATACAATAGTAATGCTAATCTACTCGGTCTTCTCCATTTGGCCACAGGTTCTCATCCACATCACATCTTACGTCATCTTGGGCAACACACCTAGGAAAGAATCTTCTGGCTGCCAGAATTGAAGGAGTTGAAAAATTGAAGGAGTAACACCTGTGTAGATGTTCATCTACAATGAGAATCAGCTGTGGCTGGTTAAACTGCATTTTTAGATTTAAAATATGTTTCAATAAAATATTGCTGTTGGATTTTGCTGTCTTTTTAAGTTTTGCATTGTGTTATTGTTTTGACCATGAGTTTAACAGTTTTGAAAACAGTATGTAAGCACATGCAAAATGTCCTGTACGTACAAAGATTTTTGGCAGTTGTTGTGTCTGAGTGAGAAGATGATTCATGAAATTTGAGAGATGTAGTCATTGAATGTATTTTGTGCCAAAACAATGATAACTGATCCTCAGTTTGGCCCACATAGACTTCTGTTGTGCTCACTGTGTGAGGAGTTTTGCAAAAGTGACCTAAGTATTGAGACATGTGTCCTAGCGTCTGTAAAAAACTGTAAATACAATAGTCAGACTATACACTTTATTTGTATCTCATGACATCAATCCTTCTGTGTAGGTTTGTCTACAGTAAATAATGTTAAAAGAAAAGTGAAGTGAGAGGTTGTAGTGTCTCAACTGGGTATTTACTTTTGAGTAGTAATTTTACCTTTTAGCCACTTCCTTTGGGCCTCAATGCTTGACCTTTCTTTACCAATTGTATCACAATGTCAACAGTTTAATTCTTGTGATAAAACAGGAGGAAAAAAAGACATTAAAAGAGAAGAAAGAAAAGATTAGAATATGCTGATAAGCATAGACTTGTTTCCCTTAAATAATTTCCATTTCAAAAGCCACCAGCACGAGAAAGCTGCTTCAGCTTTAGCTTGCAAGTGCAAAACAAATGCACGCTGGAAGATGCAGTTTTTTTATATGCATAATTTATTTCTCACTGACACTGTTATTGAACAAATACACATTTTGAAGCCTGGCACCTCCTGCTTTGGACTGACACATAGATACATTAAAACCAGTGGCACATAGGACAACACTTAGGGCAACATTAACAAGCTGAACTTGTCCAGATACTTTACATTATTCCACTGAATTTAGCAATGATTTCATGCCAGCACAACATAAACATGTTTTCCGAAATATGTCCCATACTGCATGTGGAACAGCAACATGATACCTGAATCCACAAAATAATTTGATTGCACTGGAATAATCTGAGCCGCAATACCGCACGTCAGAAAATTCACATTGCTTTGTCTCTAAACATCCAGCAGGGCATCGTATGATGTAAACAAATCCAATCTGAAATAAAATTTATAGATCAGTCTGACAACTGAAGTGAACTTTTTTCCTAAACACGTAGATTGGCGTGATCTTTTAAAGTCGGGATTGAACCAACATCCATCCTAATACGGGGCTTGTGCATCACTGGTTTCAGTAGCAATTACTTTATATGACCAAGCTTATCATTAAAAAAATTTAAGAAATTGTCAGCCATATTTACATTTAAAACAATCAGCGTCAAGTATATATATTTTTAATATTTTAATTTTAAATAAATCATCAATAACAGTCAATTTCCTATTTAAATTCAACCTTAACCTGCTACTGGTTCTTCTGAAAGTGGTTTAATAGTTATAGCTACTGAAGGATTTCCTTATCAAGCCTTTCAAAATAAAGAAAATAAAAAATCTATGAATCTGTTTCACTAATATAACAAAGGTTATTAGCAGCCAGGGATGTCACTTCAATCAAAGCCGAATGCACATTTTCTTTCCATTTTAGGGAAGCCGAGGATTAATTATGAGTGCTGTGCAGTGGTGCACATGCAAATGGAGGAAAAACTCATCTGAAAGTTTGTACTACATATAAATTAGATTAGTCTGGATAGTTTAAGCCAGAAGGCCTGTCTGTAACTGCAATGTAAACGTTATCACTGTTGGTCAACTGTGTGCACTCTTTAGCCCAAGCGTGCAGCTTGAATTCATTGATTATTTTTTAAGCAATACATTTTTCATTTAGCGGTATGTATGCTCACATATTCCAGTAGCTACTGTTAATTGCATACACATACATTTGTCTGAAGTATGACACTGATCTTCAGCTCCACAACATAAAATAATGGAAAATAATAAACTTTCAAACTTATCTGAAGGCTTTTAAGATTTCTTTTTGATATCCCGCTGGAGGGAGGTTTATTTGCTGTGTGTTGTAAAAAATAAAATAGAAAACATGGCTCATGGTATACAACAACTCTACTGTAAGCCTTCTTGCCATCACAGTTTACAAGCTGAGGTACTTCATAAGGCTTTTTAAAAATTCCTTTAAAAATTGAACACCATAATAAAGACATTTTCAAGAGACCATTAATCCTCTGTCCTTTTAATCGCCATCCTGCTTCTTCTATATATCCCAAAGTGGGGATATATTCTTAAGTGCATTTGAGTTTCGACCACTAATAGGACTCAGCCATGCAGAGCGTGGTCTGTTCGAGGATTTCTCAAAAATATTCAACGGTATCTTTGTGAATGATTCCTGGCACGCTGGAAAAATTGTCCAAAAATCCAAGTCATCAAATTTTGTTGATAAAATCCTTATTAGCCACACCGCCCACAGACATCAGATTTGTCAGCTTGTGTTTCTTGCACTTTGGTTCAGACTGAAGACAAAAACGATTTGCTGGCTAGATTGGCCAATGCAAAAGTCTGCTGTGGCTGAATCCTGCAGATGCTTGAGATCCCCTGACTCAGCAGCCCAAAGTTTCTTCTGATCAGACACTTCACATTATCATGATGATACTTCATGATGACCATAGCCAGATTGCTAGGGCAGAATAGGACATTAGCATGCTAACATCTGCATGCACTGTAGCTGTGTGGAGGCTGTTAAACTGCAGCTCTAAATACAAAACATTCAATCCATGAGACAGAACTGAGCTTCGCGACCTTTCTGTCTGAGCCTGATGTGTTAACGGGTTTTTTATGTAATGTCCAAAGGTTTTTGTTAGCAGACAAAATTGACAGCATGATCTGTCCTCAGGTTTCACTCTCAGACTACACTTTACTTTTTGCATCACCAGTGGTGAGAATCTAACCAGTGGTTTGACTATCTTTCATTCACCTAACAATTTTGTGTTTTGCTGCGTAAGCATTTCATCCTCCCACATGTCTGTTCACATGACCACAGACCCTGTGTTTTGTTATTTCATTTATCCCATCCTTATTCTGCCGTTTTGATATGTCACCTACTGACTGAACCCTGTGCATCCGCAGCCACTGGTTGCATCTGATTTCAGCCCGTTAGGCCATCAGAAATGAGACCCTGGAACTGTTAGGAGCTGCCGGCCTCTCACTGAGCTGATCAGTTTGGACCTGCTACTACTTGTTCCAACTAGTTAAGTTATTTCCTGAGGATGGTCATCTGTAGACACTCCTCCTTCAGAGCCACCAGTTCCGTCTTGTAGTTGTTGGTCTTGCCTGGATCCGCATACACACAAGGCTGCTTCTTTGTTGACAGCGGTGTGTCCATGGTTACTGAACCAGCATTGAGAATGTCAGCATGTGAAGGCGAAGAAGAGGGCCGCCTGTTGCAGGCCACTGACAGTAAAGCCGACAGGGCTCGGCCGACATCATTCCTAGCTCCCTCGTTAACGAAACAGTACAAAATAGGGTCAGCTACGCAGTTCAGGCTGGTCAATGCCAACGATACATGGTATGCTGCAAACAAGGTTTCCTCTGAGCTGCAGTCACATGGCTTCTGTAAAAACATGACACTCCGCACCAGGAGGAGGATATGATATGGTCCAAAGCAGAACAAAACAATGAGAATCAAACTCAAAGCTAACCGCTGAATTTTGGCCTTTTCCTGGCGCTCTGTTGAGACATTGCAACGCACTGCTGCAAGGATCCCTCGGTAGGCGACCAGCATTGCCGTCCACGGAGCAAGGAAGCCAAGAAATGACCTGTAGAGGTTCATGCCTGCTACCCAGTCCTGCATTGGATATTTCTCAAAGCAGAAGGTGTGATTGAACCGGTCCTGGAAGAGCTCATCATGGAAGAGAGGAGCAGAGTTTGCTACAATCTCAATGATCCACACAATGGTGCTGACGAGGATAGCTGCAGGAAGCAGAGGAGAGGAAAGACAAAGAGAGCAAACATTAAATACCTTGATAACTTCCATTTCTATATCTCATGTACATTTTGGTCACTCTGTGGACGTCCAATTCCCTTATTTATTGAATTTGAGCATTGCAATATGTGCTGGATCTTGTCCATTTCTTGAATGTAATTCTTGTAACACAGACAAATTATAGGAACGCATAAAACCTCAGTGTGTATAGTGTATGAACCACTGATTGTTCTCCCTCAAACACCACAAGCCATTACAGTAAGTCTGAGCCATCTATCCATCTATCCATCCATTTAGTCTATCCCCACTCTCACAGGGCGAGAAGCACACCACACCCTGGACATTTCAGCAGTTTACCGCAGGGCTGACAGAAAAGCAGACAACCATTCACACTCATATATACATGCATACAGCCAGTTTGGATCATGGGGACAAATTAATTGTCACAAACACATGAGAGAGGCATCCTTGGAGTGATCTAAAAACAGCTGGAAGTGGTCCAGAGGTGAATGGGAAGATGACTTGATTGGACTTAAAATGAAAAACTCGCAGAACACGTGTAAAGAGGTCCAAGTTTTCTTAGTGCAACATGTTTTTAGATTCTTCCCTTCACAGGGATCAAGTTTATGTTGCATACAAACCTGTTTTGATTCGTCGAACTTTCACAAAGCGCAGAGGGTATGCCACAGCCAGGTACCTGTCCAGTGATATGCAGCACAGGAACGCGATGCTGACATATATATTAGTATAGAAGATGAAGCCAAATAGCTTGCAGCTCTCCTGACCGTGGATCCAGTTATCGTGATGAAGGAAATAGTCGATCCAAAGAGGAAGAGTGGCAATGTAGAGGAGGTCAGCCACCGACAGGTTAATCAGGTAGATGCCAAGCTCATTGCGTTGGCGTACCTGGTGCAAAGGGGAGAAGGTGAAGATTCAAATCTGAACAAGACTAACATGTTTGCTTAAAATTGGTGAGCCAGCTATCCGTTGCATGCAATCTCTCCAACAGATCAGAGAATGCAAACAAGGTGCGATGCATATTTGCCTCAGCTGCAAATGATTTGGATTCCTGGAAGTCAAAACACAGGAGATTTGAAAGGCTGATTGTGTTTGGTCTGAATATTTGCCCTTTGTTACCTTTAGTGTTGTGCAATGAACGTCTGGCTCACACATGCCTTAGAAAATGTTTTTGGCTGAACACTGAATTACTGCATATACAAAGTATTTAGGTATAACTGGTATTCAGTTTGAGTACTATCATTATTGAAGCCGGTGATCTGGTTAATGCTGCAAAGCGTGGTAGCAACAATGACTATAATGCACCTGACCCAGCACTCCTATGGTCATCTGAACCGTAAAAATGTGCCCTGATGCTGACATGAAAGACAAATAATGTAACATGAAATGTTGCTTACTTTAATGATGGCTCTTTCCGAAAAACACGAGTTGCTGAGCTTTATGAATAAAAGTCATTAACAATCCTTCCTCTTGCTGCCAAAGCAAACTGACAGTCTGTGGGAAACGCAGTACAAGTTTGATGCTGGTGAGAAAATATCCCAAAGGCTCTTTTGACCGTATCTGGCAGGCAACGTTGAACATGCGACGTAATTGACAAGCGTCATTAACCACAATTGTGTGTTACCCTTAGTTACACTCAGTGCTGTGTTGCTTTTTGTGAACTGTTTTGTTTTTAGTGCAGTCATAGGAATGTTTCTGGATTTCTACAAAGGGAACCCCAGAAACCACCAGAGTTTGATTTTGTGATGATTCTTCTTACTGGATTTGTCATAATCCAAGAACTATGGCTAGAAAAAAAAAAAGATATTTGAATGACTTATACGTATGCCAGACATCTAAAGTGGATGAACACTTGGATTGTTTTACTATGCACTTTGGAAATAAACAGAAAGATTAGCAGGGAGATTTCCTTGGAAGACAAAAAAGACCCAAAATAAGACCTATTTGTTCCCAAAATGTCTCGTGAAATCAAAGTGGCAGGTTCTAACCCCAATTTGGAAACCACTGTCTGATAGTCTGATACATTTGAGGCCATTGGAGGTGGAAAACTGTGGGTACGTGTCTCTCACCTGCATGTAGGCGGCCCACAGGGCCATGCAGTTAGTCGGCAGCCCAAGAACGATGACTATGATGTAGAGTGTGGGCTGAAAGAACTGGTCCACCTTACTATCCACATTACAGAAGGTGATGTTGCACATTGTCATGTATCAGACTATCTGCAGGTGTGCGAAGTGTGTTCAGCTACTCTCAGCTTTGCATTTTCCCCTTCTGTAGTTTCACTATGTTCCAGCTCCAGCAGTTTGACAGTGACATGATGACTCTGACGTCCTGCTCAGCAGTCCCACACGAGGCAATGGAGGAAAACATACGTGTTATTTCCAGGGAATCTCTCCTATTCTTAAACCACTGTCCTCTTGACTTGACATGTTATAATCCTCTTTCACGCTTCCAGGCCGGTCTTTGTCCTCCAGTATAAGAGGTGAAGAAGGGAAGGAGTGAGCTATATGATGTGGTGAAATGAAAGCTGCCTTATCAGTGCCATGCCAGGCTTCCTGAGCCTGGAGAAGACCTCATCAATCTTTTAGAGATTAGAGGTCTGCCAGGTCTACCGTGAGAGCGATGAGCCTGAGCATCACTTTGTGTGTGCCGTTGTGTCTCAAGGTCCTGATGACACACAAAACCCCTCAGAGATGCTGCCGGTGAGGCAGGAATGACTTTACACAGCTTCGGTGGACTGGACCTGTTTATTCGCAAGTTCTGAAAATCTGCAAGAAAGAGAAAGAGAGAGCAATAAGTTAAGATAATTTGTAATTAGAAAATGTTTTTTTTTATTTGTTTTTGCATAATAATATAAATACTGAAACAGAACTATATAAAAAAAAACTTATAGGGGTCTATTTATCCAACATTTATCCAAGGCCATTTAAACAAGTGGTACATCTTACAGTACTGTCTTATCTTTTGGACCATTTATATCTATTTTGATGACAGTTTTGGTATTTGGGGGATTTTGGGAAAGCATGAATTTGGAATAACTGTGACTAAAACTTAAAATATTTAAAATAATTTTGCAGAAATTTACATTCCCCAGAGTTGTACTGGTCAAAAGACAGTTTATTCTGTCTTGTCTTGCATCTATTTGCCTTTTACATAGATTTTTAATGTGCAATAACTGAAAACTCCAACAAGCATTTTCAGGTATTTGCTTTGGATATTTGAACTGAATGGGATCCTTCTCCTGGTGAAAACAGACCACTCAAAACTGCGTGGAATGAACACACCCTTCATATAACACAACAAGCACTTGTCTACTAATATATTGAATTTTGCTGCTCCAAACATTCAGAAAAGTGTGTGCAAGAAAAGACAAAGCATGTGAAACAGTCAATCTCTACTACCCAGCACAATAACACAGCACATGCTGACAAACCGTAAATCACAAAGCTTTTGCATAACATGCAAACATAAAGTCAGAGAGAGACAGAATTTTCACCCAAACACATACAATGACAGAAGGAGCAGGACGAGAAGCTGATTACCTCTTTAATTTCTATATTTCACGTATTGGATAACTTTGATGTATTTTTTTAATCAAATATATTTTTGAACATTATGAACCACACTGCTCCAAAGGATCCAAAGGATGCAAATTCAATGTTTGGTGCAAAACTCTTACTTGGGGAAATACGCAGAAAATTTTATGGAAATCTATTAGTCAGTACTGAAAGAGACCAGAAATCAGTAATCAGCTACCTCAGTAATCTGCTACCTCAGGTAGCAGTGTTGAAAAATGATGCCATACTTCATAATTAGGGGAGACTGCAACTGGCAGACATGCTGAACAAGTGAGCTTACTTCCCGGTTGCAAATCCAGGAAGAGGCCTCAGAGATGCCAGTTCAGTGATCAATGATTCTGGACTGAGCTGACAGCTACTGTCATATATACAAACACAGGAGAGTGCTATGCTAGGACATTTCCACAGTGACATGATTAAAAAAAGCTATGTTTAGGAAACATTGATTTTGATAAGGTGACCACAACTGGGCCACAGCTCTGCCCTAATCTGTTGTCAAACACACACGTTCGTTGCAGAGATAATTACTCATCACTCTTGTGGTAAATTGTCATTTTTTATGTTCTAAAATGTCAAAGGTGTGTCAGCTGATAGATGAATGTTTCATGTTTCTGCTCGTTTTTAATATTTTCTGCTATTTTTGTTAATTCCATAAGAGAGAAACTAACCCCTGTAACCCCGGTGAAAGACAAAGCTTGGCATTTTAAGGAAATGAGCTATAGGTGATACAGGAAGAGGAGATGATGTGCCAGTTATGCAACACATTTTTTGGTTCATTCCTCAGTAGCTGTGAGCACACCCACTGTACTTTGAGCATTTGCATTAGCTAAATGTGTGACCTTTTGTGGCCTCCGTAGGTAATTCCGTTTTTACGTTCTTTGGCAAATTGCACCATTTGGTCAGAAGCTGCTGGTGTCACGGAAATATGTACAAGGTGATGTGATGGTACTATTCCAGAAAGCAAACACTCGAGTGACATACGGAGGCAGGAAAGGTGGAAGTGGCATAAATTACCAGACTGTCAACTAGAAGAACATCCTGTTTGAGAGCCTCCCTTTGTTCTGTTAGTTTGACTTTTAATTGCTGTTTCCTTTCACCTTCTTAGCTAGTGATAGGAAAATATATTGCACTTTATCAACTGTTGAGATTTCCCGGTGTGTTAAAATCTAACCTCAAAGGGTCTCGATGAAACACTATGACACTTCTCCTACAGCAACAGTGCCGAAGGGCATCTTGTGCATATCTGTGAGATACAGTATCTGTGACAAAATGGCAATATTTGACACCCTGGGAATAGGAATGGACACCTGTATTGGATAATTATTAAAATTCTATTGTGTCAGGCTTACAATAGAAGAGCAAAGCCCTGCAGTGATTATATTAGATGTCTAATTATAAATAAAGAATCTCTAAGACTCTCCTGTCCAGCTGGGAGGGTTTTTTTTATTTTCAATAAATGGAAAGAAACATGAGGAGGAAAGAAGCAAGACGAGAAAGGAAGGAAATACAAACGAAGAGGTTTGGGGGGTGCAAAAAAGAAAAGAAAAAAGTCAAGAAGAAATGCAAAAGTGTAAATGAAGAAGAAAGAAAACATCAACACTAAAAGACTTTTTACCTTGCATTCCTGAAGATGAATATTTATAATATGAAAGACAGTTTAGATGCGATCCCACTGAGCCGTTGTCTTGAAGACTCTCTTTCACAGCTGAGTTCACAGCACTCGACAATCAAAGGACTGTGATCACATCTGTCCCCACTGAGCACAGATGAAAGACTTCACTTCCTCATTAGATAACAGCAGGGCCACATGTCAGTGACAAAACCTTCACGTCTTAAACTCCCATCACAGAGCGCAGGGTTAGTACTCAAATCAAACTATGGAATCAAAGGGTAAGAAACTAAGTTAATGTAACATAAAGACTGTCCAGCAGCCACAGTGGAGTAACTGGAGGATCAAGTCTTGCTCACGGACATGCTGTCAGTCCTTATTTACAGAAGTAAAATAAACCAGAGTGACATGGGCTTATTTTCCAGCACGTCTCCGTTCTGTTATCTTTCTCCACTCAGTCACCACAACTATGGTTTGTAATATCAGCTGCAGATATTTATCATGCTTCATTTCCATGTGAGTGATGCACATGCATGTGCTTTCTGAGAAATATATGCACACATTTAAGCCACCTGTCAGCAGTCAGAAGTTCTTCTTTCTGATGCAAAGTCAACACTCATCTCCAGTCACTGTGAACATGTTGCATTAACCAACAGAGCGTATTGACAAACACTGTTTTATTCTTTTAGATTTAAGATTTTGAACTAGTTAATTGTCCTATTGCTGCTGCTCATGTCATAATTTACAGTGTCAACATAAATGTTCGAATAGGTCCTGAACGTTAATAGTGCGTGGTTGGTTTTAATGAGCGAGTCCCTCTTTGTTTGCAATGTTCACAAAATGTGGGATGCATGATTCAACTTTCACAGTGTTTCACTAATACACATTTGGTGATAACATTTAAAAACCTTGCACAATCAGCGACCAATGTGATTAAAAAACTGATAGCATGCAAGCGTGGAGGCAACACAGTGGTGCAATGGTTGCCCAGCAAACGCAGTTGAAACAGTGGCGTTATCTCCTTGCTCAAAGCTGATTGCAGTATGAGGGCAGAAGCCGGACTATGTAAAAGGGCAACGCTGACGTTGTTCCCAAGTACAATAGAGGTCCGATGAGATGGTCTCTTACAACACAAGAAATATATTCCATGTTGTTGCAATGAAGAAAGGGGATGCGTACATCTAACATCTTCTTTCACAGTACCCCTAGCAACTTCTACATGTCCTCCTTCATTACATCCATGAACCTCTGTGAGGTCTTCCTGTTTTCCACCTTCTCAGTTCCATCTTCAACATCCTTCCTTCAGTATATCCACTATCCCTCCCTCCATTTCAACCTCGAATCTCTAACTTTGTCTCCAAGCCACTCAACCCGAGCACTCCTTCTGATCCTTCTGTCACAAATCACCCCTGACACTTATCTCCACCCTGCCTACACTCTTTTCTTCACTCGTCTTGTGCAATGGATGCAACAAATTGTGAGCAATGAATTGCACAAAAATCCCATTGAAGATGGCATGGTTGCCAGTGTCAGACAGGGTTCAGAAAATGCTGATCTACTGGGATTTGCCACTGGGATCATCTGTAGGATTTACAGAGATTGGCCTGAAAAGGGGGAAAATATTCAGTGAGCGGTGGTTTTCTGGGCAAGAATGCTGTGTTGATGCCAGAGGTCAGAAAATAACTGCTCTGCGCTGATAGTTAAGCAACAATAACTCGAATAGGAGTTAAGTGTAAAGGCTGAGCTCCCAGTTTACATGGGCTTGTTTAACTTAAACAAAAGCCTTCCAAGTGTGGCGCTGTCGCTTTTATAAACATCCAAACCTGGATTCTATATTAAAGTGTAAATCTGCAGATTAGGAAGAAGCTTCACCTCACTGTGTCTGTTTATCTGTTCAGTGCACATTTAAATAGATATGATAAGTGCTGGCAAATATAGAAACTGAAAAAAATACCTCTCAGACAAATTCTTTGATGTCATTACCAGAGGGAGGGTGAGTTGTTTGTAGCTTCTGTTAATGTAGAGATAAATAAATAATAAAACAAACAAAAGTTTTTTGTAGTTTTAATAAACTCTCATTTCAGTTTTACACATGGTCTAGAAATACAGCTTTCTTTCATCCAGATAGCATCTTTATTTTCCCTTTCTTTCTTTTTCTTCCCTGCTGTTAGGCTCTCTGTGCAGTCCCAGTTGTATTAAAAAAAACTTATTTTTAAAAACGCCTAACATTCCTATGAAAAAATATTGCATAAGGTACAGTTATGCAGAGATGTTATGTGAAAGAAGATTTGAGGCCACAGGCTCAACAGGTTTATTAGTAATAAGGAATTAGAAATGTGTGTGCATGTATGAACAATGAAGGCCTCTTTCGACCTGTTTGGGGCAGTAGAGTAAAACACAGCAGTGTCTGATCTGCTGCCAGAGGAGATTAGGTCAAGGCAGCACTGGCAGCAGCACAATTACAATGTCGTGTTCCCAAGACTTACAAGGACATTACTGTGATTTTCAATCATTTCAAGGATACTAACTCCAAACCTTCGCCTTAATTAGTCATTGCCTAAACTAATTTTCCCTCCAAATG